TCCTTCCTTCCTCCTCCTCTTCTTCCAGAAAGTGGGTGTGTGTGGAGAGCAGGGCCCCGGAATAGGATCTCAACAGTCATGCAAGTTCATAGGGCAGCAGGCTGCCATGTAAAGCAGTTCAAATCATTTCCCCCAAACACTTAACTTAAAATGGAAAGCAGCTGCCTTTTCCCACGAGAGGGTAATGCACGGACCCAAGAGCAAATATTGGCCTGCGCAGCGGGTAAATAAGAGAACCTGACAAATCCCTTGCTGCTTCAGCGGGGACAGCTACACAGATGACATGGTGGTGGTGGGGGGGGCTATTTTCTCTGCTGTTTGCTGTCTCCACTGACAACGGGGCTTTTCTTGTCAACCTCCTGGGACCTTACTCCCTTGCCACTTGTGTTCTACTTTGCTTAATCAACACAAGGCAAAAATCAATAGAGAGAAATTAAACAAAAGAGTACCCTGGCTGCAAAAATTGCCAAAGAAGTGTGAGTTTTGGATAGTAATGCACGGAGCTCCTCTCCGCACGTCTATCCTCGCCGAGCTCAGACCGGAAAGAGGTTAAAAACAAACACACCCAAACCTGCAGGACGGTATCTGAAACTTTTTCTCTGTTTGGAGTCAGTTTGGAGGGGGAGCCAAGCAAATTAGGTGCGGGTTTCCCCCCCTAATCATTAACCGCCGCCCCCCCAGCAATTCCTTACTTATATAAAAATGCCTCTGCTTGTTTTTCTCCCAACATAGCTGAAGCCCAGTGGGTGGGGTAAAAACATAAGAATATAAGAGAAGCCAATGTTGGATCAGGCCAGTGGCCCATCCAGTCCAACACACAGTGGCCAAAAATACCAGGTGCCCTCAGGAGGTCCAGCAGTGGGGCCAGGACACTAGAAGCCCTACCATTCTCCCCCCCCCCCCCCAAGTAGACAGAGCATCACTTGCCCCAGACCGAGAATTCCTATCTATACCTTGTGGCTAATGGCCACTGATGGACCTCTGCAATTTAAAATTTAGAAACCCCAGTAACTCAGTTTAATGCTTAAAAAAATTCTCAGTGTAACCAAAGTAATAAAAAAACAGGCAGGCTGTGACCACGGAGTGTGCCCTGTTATCGATATCTTTAGCCCTACTCTGCCTGCCCCAAATTCTCCCGTAAATGAATAAGGTTCTGCAGCCTCACAGGAAGATTAGTAAGGAGGGAATTATCTTCACTTCCTCTGGGAGACGGTTCCGAAGGAACGGGTGAGAAACTGAAAGGGCCGGTGTATGGGGAGGAACGGATCGTACCCTGGCAAGCGGGGGTATGTCAAAGAGACCGTTCTTTGGAGAAATGACGCTGCCACAGGGGAAGCTTCAGGGAGAGGGGTCCCAGATCATGAAGGTTTTAAAGGTAAGCACTGGCATCCTGGACTGGGAAACAGGAAGCCAGTGAAGAAAGGTGGGCGTAATGTGTTTCCACCAGATGACAAACGCTCTGCTGTGTTCTGCACCAGCTGAAGTTTTCGAACCACCTTTGAGAGCAGCGGCCCCACACAGAGGGCATGACAATACTCCTTGAGCTTGCTGGCATAACAGTCCTGATCTCCCTGATGGGTCTACTGTCAGGTCTAATAATAATAATAACTATCGTATGGCGGTGTATGTAGTACAGCCAGAAGATCCTAAGATTGTCTGGCAGTCACAAGTTCTAGCTCTTTTAGAATTATGCACCA